AAACATATGCAAAATATGCAAACATATGCAAAAATATGCAAAATATGCAAAATATATGCACAATATGCAAAATATATGCAAAATATGCAAACATATGCAAAATATGCAAACATATGCAAAATATGCAAAATATATGCAAAATATGCAAAAATATGCAAAATATGCAAAAATATGCATAATATGCAAAATATATGCAAAATATGCAAAAATATGCAAAATATGCAAAAATATGCATAATATGCAAACATATGCAAAATATGCAAACATATGCAAAATATGCAAACATATGCAAAAATATGCAAAATATGCAAAATATGCAAACATATGCAAAATATGCAAACATATGCAAAATATATGCAAAATATGCAAAAATATGCAAAATATGCAAAATATATGCAAAATATGCAAAAAATATGCAAAATATGCAAAAATATGCATAATATGCAAACATATGCAAACATATGCAAAATATGCAAAATATATGCAAAAATATGCAAACATATGCAAAATATGCAAAAATATGCAAAATATATGCAAAATATATGCAAAATATGCAAACATATGCAAAATATGCAAAATATATGCAAAATATGCAAAAATATGCAAAATATGCAAAAATATGCATAATATGCAAACATATGCAAAATATATGCAAAATATGCAAACATATGCAAAATATGCAAACATATGCAAACATATGCAAAAATATATGCACAATATGCAAAAAAATATGCACGGTGTGCTAGGTCGATATGCGAGAAATATGCAAAAAATATGAAAAATATTGGCAAAAATATGCAAAATATGAGCAACATATTTCACATATGCAATTATTTTAATCAAAAAAAAAAAAAGATTTTTCATGGTAGTTTTCGAATTTGTGTGCTTTCTTTGTTTTTAACCTATAGAAATCTAATTTTGTATGTATGCGTTTCATGGTTCAACTGTTAGATTTTTGGGGCATTATGAAAAATTTGCTAAATATATGTATAAAACATGCAAACATATTTAACCGTTATATGGCGATATACTAAAACGTGGACCGATATATCCCATTTCCAATACCAAACATCCTAGGAGTAATAATAATATATGTGCAAAATTTCAAAGTTCTATCTTTAATAGTGCGACCTAGCATACCGTGCATATTTTTTGCATAATTTGCATATTTTTGCATATTTTGCATATGTTTGCATATTTTTGCATATTTTGCATATTTTTCATATTTTTGCATATTTTGCATATTTTTGCATATTTTGCATATGTTTGCATATTTTGCATATGTTTGCATATTTTGCATATGTTTGCATATTTTTGCATATTTTGCATATGTTTTGCATATTTTGCATATGTTTTGCATATTTTGCATATTTTTGCATATTTTGCATATGTTTGCATATTTTTGCATATTTTGCATATGTTTGCATATTTTGCATATATTTTGCATATGTTTGCATATTTTGCATATGTTTGCATATTTTGCATATGTTTTGCATATTTTGCATATATTTTGCATATTTTTGCATATTTTGCATATGTTTGCATATTTTGCATATGTTTGCATATTTTTGCATATTTTGCATATTTTTTGCATATTTTTGCATATTTTGCATATGTTTGCATATTTTGCATATGTTTGCATATTTTTGCATATTTTGCATATTTTTGCATATTTTGCATATGTTTGCATATTTTGCATATATTTTGCATATTTTGCATATTTTGCATATGTTTGCATATTTTTGCATATTTTGCATATGTTTTGCATATTTTGCATATTTTTGCATATTTTGCATATTTTGCATATTTTTGCATATTTTGCATATGTTTGCATATTTTGCATATTTTTGCATATTTTGCATATTTTTGCATATTTTGCATATCGACAATGCATATTTTGTATATTTTTTGCATATATTTAACGCATATCGACCTAGCATACCGTGCATATTTTTTGCATATTTTGCATATTTTTGCATATTTTGCATATTTTTTGCATATTTTGCATATTTTTTGCATATTTTGCATATTTTTTGCATATTTTGCATATTTTTTGCATATTTTGCATATTTTTTGCATATTTTGCATATTTTTTGCATATATTTTGCATATTTTTTGCATATATTTTGCATATTTTTTGCATATTTTTTGCATATTTTTGACATGACCCCAAATATCGATCAATTAAAGCATGAAACGCCTAAATACAAAATTTGAGTCCAATCGGATAAAGCATAAAAAATATGCAAAAATCCGAGGTCTACTGATTACTAATCTGCAATGTGTGTTTCTTATTTCTTTTCTATTTCCAATCAGAAGAGAGAGAATTGGCATTAATACGTCGATATCACAATGACAGACAGATCCAATTGCATGTTGTTGTTGTTTTTGCAAAGTGATTTTGTGTGTAGGTGGCAACATTATGCTCTTTAGTGCAAAAATAAAAACAACAACTCACACACATCTGAGTGAGTGAGAGGGAGCGAGGTAGAGAGAAAGGAAAACATCACCAAAGAGCCCAACAGAACAAAAAGAAGAATTGTCATAAAATACCAAGGCATAGGGAGGGAGTTACAAAAACACCAGCTAATAAAAGACATGAGAAAATAAAATATGCGAAGGATGCAAGGATAATCAATAAAACAAAAAGGGCAAAGAAGGAAAATATAACTGTAAATAATAAGCAAATAAAATCATGATGGTTGTCAAATGTTGCCAATTTGTGACACTTACCTTATTTACAATATTAATTTAAGGAGTTCAAACGTTGTATGATGAAAAAATGTTGAATATTTTAACTGTTGTTGTTAATAAATTGCACTGCTGTTTTTTTCTACAACAAAAACACATACACAAACAATGACAGCACACACATAAAATAGTTAAACTTTGGTTTTTTAAGCTCGAACAGTTAAAAAGGTCCCCTCCATTCGTCACTTGTTCTTACTTTTTGCTTTTTTTCTTCTTCTTTTATTGCTTGTTTGCTGTGTTGTGCTGCTGCTTACTAACTTTGTGTAGTGTTGTTTTTTTTTTTGGTATTTGGAGTGTTGTTGTTGTTGTTTTTGTTGCCTTTGCAATATGATATGACCAAATTACGTATACTTCGTTTCGTTTTCTGTTGTATTTTTTGCGGTTTGTTTGTTGTAAATTACCGTTTTTCTGCCTGTTTGCTTTTTCTTTTTTCTCTCCTTTTTGTCAAACAATTAGAATTTACACTTTTTCACTCTCTTCACAAAATCTCCACTGTTCAATAATTTACTTTAAGCCAGAAAAAAACACAAATCCCAATTAAACACAATCCCAATTAAATACATGCACAAACTTTTTTCTTTGGAGTTTCACAATTTGTTGTTGTTGCTGTTATTGTTGTATTGATTTTGCTTCTTGTTTTTCTGCTTCTTCTTATTCGTGTGTTTGTCGTGGCTTTAGCTTTCATGTAAATTATGACAACGGGGGTATTTTCTAATTTGCTTGCTTACGTATATTTTAATAATTGAGCAAAGATTTTTTTTTCGTTAACTTGGCCTTCGATTTTTTCGTTTCACTTTTTTTTGCAATTTTCTACACGGATTTTTTTACACCTCTTAGGATATTTTCCTTAATTTTTTTTCTTAACGACAATCAACTAAAAGTAAATCTGCCAGACCGTATCTCGTCCGTCGTTTTTTTCGTTCGTTTGGCAATTGTTTGGGTTGCTCAAAAATGGTAGTGTTGGGTACCAAATGCTGTTTTGTTGTGATTACCAAGTACTCAAGTTGTCATGATTGTTGGTGGTTATTTTTTTAATGGGATTCAATTTAAGTTCCAATTGGAATTGTGATAATATGAATCACAGCTTCAGATTGCCATGATTTTAAACCGGAATTTCACAATAAGTAGGTGATTTAATTAAAAAATGATTGAAGTTCGTGGGGAGTATGGGGTCTGTATAAAAATTCATAAATTAAGAGTTATTGTTATTACAAATACTGCACTTTTTCCTTGAAAAAAATATTCTTTAATAAATCCACGCCTCTTCTAGACCTTGAAAAAAGTATTCTTTAATAAATCCACGCATCTTCTACACCTTGAAAAAAGTATTCTTTTCAAGACCTTAAAAAAAAATACTTTAATAAATCCATGCCTCTTCTAGGCCTTGAAAAAAGTATTTTTTAATGCCTCTTCTAGACCTTGAAAGAAGTATTCTTTAATTAATCCATGCCTCTTCTAGGCCTTGAAAACAGTATTCTTTAATTAATCCATGCCTCTTCTAGGCCTTGAAAAAAGTATTCTTTAATTAATCCATGCCTCTTCTAGGCCTTGAAAAAAGTATTCTTTAATAAATCTACGCCTTTTCTAGACCTTGAAAAAAGTATTCTTTAATAAATCCACGCCACTTCTAGACCTTGAAAAAAGTATTCTTTAATAAATCCACGCCTCTTCTAGACCTTGAAAAAAGTATTCTTTAATAAATCCACGCCTCTTCTAGACCTTGAAAAAAGTATTCTTTAATAAATCCACGCCTCAGTTGGCCCTTGAAAAATATTCTTTAATAAATCCACGCATCAGTTGGCCCTTGAAAAATATTCTTTAATAAATCCACGACTCAGTTGGCCCTTGAAAAGTATTCTTTAATAAATCCACGCCTCTTCTAGACCTTGAAAAAAGTATTCTTTAATAAATCCACGCCTCTTCTAGACCTTGAAAAAAGTATTCTTTAATAAATCCACGCCTCTTCTAGACCTTGAAAAAAGTATTCTTTAATAAATCCACGCCTCTTCTAGACCTTTAAAAAAGTATTTTTTAATAAATCCACGCCTCTTCTAGACCTTGAAAAAAGTATTTGACCGATCAAATTTTAATATGACCGTCCCCATAAATAAAATATATAGTTAATTTTGTTACATATAATAATACTTTATTTTATACACTTTTGGAATGTAAAATATACACAAAAATACTTTTAAGAGATTCATTTCACTTAGTGTCAAATGTGTAACCATATCAGTTATTTTTTCAATTTAAAACTCGTCCGATCGCTTTCTTTTCTTATTCGGCGTTACCTTTTCTTTCACCTCAATAAGACTTCTATCTCCAACAACTTCATATTTCAATAGCTTAGCATAATTCGATAACAACTCCTTCCAATAACATTCAACATCATTCATTCTCAAATGATTCCATATAAAATCATATCCCTCATCGGCAATTTCTTTAGCCAACTTATCATTACGTTTAAAGAATTGTAAAATGTCTTTAATTTCCTTTTGACTGGGATTTTTCGGCAACGGTACATAATGTTTCCATGGCTTAAGGGCCGGATAAAAGAATTCCAACCATTCATCTCCCACATGGAAAACCAAAGAACGGCATAGAAACAGATGTTTAAAACGAAACGATGCGGCAACACCACGAAAATTAAATAAATATTTAAACTGACAATGATATTTGAAGGAAACCTCTTGGGCTGGTTCAGCACCTAGGGTATCTTTGGGTGATTTCCAGGCTTGATTTTTGGTATAGGCAGCATCCACAAGATTCGGTTCGGAGCGTGAAAGTAATATCAGCGAATCTCTTTCGTGTGAGGTGCGGGAACCACGAAAGAAACCCTTTTGGAGTTTCTTTTCCCATGGATATTCTTCTGCGGTCTTTGAAATCTTCTCACGTTGCACATCCCATCTACCAATGCCAGTGGGGAAAAGCTTAATCGCCGGACCACCAGCCCAAAATGTCCATGCCGGATACATAATGTCAAGATAATCGCTTGTTTTTGAAAATGAAAATACCGGCAGCACTTCTCGCGTAAATCTGCCACTAACTTGGGGATAATCTCTTGTATTAATGACCAAATCCATATTTGGCAAGTTAGGTACTAGTTTCAGCAGAAAATGCTCTATGCCTTCACAGCGTGCGGGAAAGAAGCAATCCGCTGTTCTATATAATTTCTTATTAAAAACTTTATACGGGGTTCCAAATTTCCTGGCATCGTTTATTTGTTGTTTTGTGATGCCCTGTTTTTGGAATATTTCCAAGTCTTTTTTCCACACCTTTTGGTGACACTCACATTGCGGGTCCTGCGGCTCTGTGGAACATGGTTTATATTTGTGGCGTGACTTTTGAATGTTTGTACTATAAATTTGAGAAACTATGGAATACGTTGATTAGTACTTCTAAAATAAAGTATGTATTCAAATGAAATTAATAAATATACCTCCTTCATCATTTTCAATATCGAGCGTAGGCTCCGCCTTACTACTATCCTCACATCCATCCGCCGTTTCTTTTGTACACATCCCTTTTGAAATGACATCGTGTTGATCAGCCTCACGGGTATTTATTGATAATTGCAATAGATTTAGAAATAGTAAAACAAGAAATAAAATTGAAAACTTCATTTGATCTGCCTGTGTTGATATTGTAAACAAAAATAAATGTCAAACTGTTTATGTTTTTTCCGCAACACAACAACTATCAAACTTTGGTAACCGCAATTATTTTTGGCGTTGCCAACCTTTGGTATTTTTAGGGATGTCATGATTTTAGAGAAAATCTGCTATTGGGATTTGTCAAAATTGTCCATTTTCATTTCATTATTCGCGATAAATAAAAATAAGTAAAAAAATTACAGTCGGTGTTACCCCCAACCTGTGGTTTGCGGAGGTCTACGGAATCACTACACACTGGTTTTATTTATGTAAGGTATATGTTTTTATCAAAGAGTTGACCATCTGTGAAGAGGTACCAGAAAAGGTTGCTTTACAGAAATATATGTTTGAATGTTTGTGATTGAGGTATCAGAAGGTGTGGATCGATAAGTCCCATCTTCGTACATGATCTAGGTTTGGTAAAAGTATTACGATTTCCGAAGTGGGGATAAAATCGGACATTTCATCCGTTTGACACCTTGTGGGGAAGGTACCAGAAGGAGTGTACCAATGAGTTCAGCCTTCTGACTTGATCTAACCAAAGTAAAAATAGTTTGATGTACAAAGTTTGGATTAAATCAGGCAACGCTTGATATTGGATTAACAAATTATTAAGATTTTGACACTTTGTAGGGGAGATACCAGAAAGAGATGACCAATGGCTCCCATCTTCGGAGGAGTGATAACGTTGAACACCTCTTATTCTGACATTGGGTTATCACCCCTTGGTTTGCTGGGATGCCCTTCTGGCAAAAAACCGAAGCATCCGTATTCTTTAATGAGCGTCAACTTTTCTTTTATGTCGTCCTAGATCAACGCGTTGTGTAAAAATGCGTTCATTGAGTTGTGAGAAGAGATCGTGTCCGAATCCGAGTTCATATACCGAGTATTTGCTCTTGTGACATTAAAGACTGAGGGGCCAAGATATTTATGTCTGAAGTCCGTGTATGCCTTTCCCCTTAACACTTCAGCATTAAAGAGTCATCCTTTAGGGGAGGAGACTAAGAACCCATAAGTTTGGTTAATTATAAGGGCGCCAAAACACTTCGTCGGTCTAGATGATCATTGGCACTCGGTCATTTCCTCCGATATCCAGTCATTGTTCAATTCACAGCCACCTAATGAACAGTATTGGGCTTTCCACTATCCGTAACCTGTAGATGCATCCGATAGCTCGTAAAATATGTCTTTGGTCTGTTCATCTTTATCATCGGCCGGAACATGGGCACAAATAAGTCTGATGTAGACGAACTTCGCTTTTATACGGATTATAGCAATTCGCTTATCGCTACTGGAGTGAATCTGAAGACGAGGTTTTTTATTCTCCTGTATGTATTCTGTATCCTGTTTTTTATTCTCGGCTTTGTACTTCTTGAGTACACCCGCCATGGCGAAAACTGCGCCTGTTCTGTACAACGTGCGCACATTCCAAGCACAGATTCGCAGATCGTGGTCCATGACACGTTTGCGGGGGTCGTGAACATTAGGTGTTTGGTTTTCTTTTTCGTTGCTTTTTCATAGTAGGAGGGGGTTTCCGAATTTGGGCAACTAACCCGACTCATCAACCAATTTTTTTATAATTCTTATGGGTGAACTCGCGGCACATATCAGCTTACTACTTCAACGGGTGATGAAAATAGTTACTCTAGGTGACACCACGGGACCAAGATAAGCCTGGGCTTCGCCATGTTGGTATCTACAAGAAAAAATACAGAAATCGTATTTAACGACACATCGGTTATAACGATAGCAGCCAAAAATCACAAGAAAAACTTTGTCCTTTATTTGATATCGCTTATAGCTACAAATTTCGCCGGGCTCTTGGCCATCATTATAAGCGTGATAAAAAAAGTTCACTTTTTTGTTAACTGCATTCTATTTATTTCAAATAAATCCTCATAGAGCAGGCCAACCCGGTAAAAAGTCCTGAAGTAAATCCCGTTTACTTTTAAAAACATTAGTATTGCCAATATTCAAATTTCCCCAAAAAATCGCTACAATAGAAACATATGTTTTGAACGCGTTTATAATAGGTTGAACTCAGAAAATACACTTGTCACTCATATGCTAACCCGTTACCCAAATACTCTCGATTTGGACAACACTAATATTTTTTGACATCAAAGTCAATCTTTTCATTGGATTCATATTTTGATTTTTTTGTTTTAATATTGAAAGAAATAAGAAAAGGAGTCGCGAGAACAATACGTGAATAATAATAAAATAATTAATTAACGTTGTTGTGTGATAAAAAAGTGACTACATAACAACAACAGCAAAATGAGTGAATTTTTTAAATCTGCTATGGGTTATTTCAATAATCCAACAACTAGCACATCAACGACAAATAGCAACAACACATCACAGCCAAATAGTGGTGGCTCATCATCCGTAAATGTCAACAACACATACAGAAGTTCATCGTCGTCGTTGCAGGAAAATGACTTTTGTGGCCAAATTGTGGAAATCAATGGCCGTAAATTGCGTGTAAAAAGAGTTATTGCAGAAGGTTTGTAGTAATCCCCCCAAAAACAAAAAATGAATTGTCTTGTCTCACATACAAAAACTACACATTCGCACACAAACACACACACGCACGGACTTACATTCAACTTCGACCTCCATCCACTCAGTTAAGAAGCAGCAGAAGCTCAAGTTTTTTTTGAAGAAATGAGGGAGTCCAGAAAAAACTGTTTAGGAAAAAATCGATATATGTTGTGTGGTTGCTGGTTTTTTTTTTCAATTTTTATTTGGTGGGCGTTCAGCAGCAAATTGTGTGCAATTTTGTTGTAATGGGGAGTACATTTGTGTGTTTACACACGTCCGTCCGTCTTCCGCAAAAATTTCCGATAAGAATTAAAACAAAAACGAAAATGTTTACTAGCACTATGTGTTGTATTGTGTGAGAGGGGGAATTTTCCAATTAGAAATTGTCTTAATTTTCTTTTTAAGATGACACTTTTCTTACAACGTAACCTGTGTAGCAGTAGTACCCTCTGCAGTCTTATGTTAACCTTGAAGAGAATTTTTGCTGTTGTTATTGCTGTTTTTGACCCCATCCACACCAAATAGGCATAGAACGAAATGAAAACAATCACTACTTAAAATCTGCCATTAAAAAATACAGTATTTGTTGTTCGTTATATGGCACTGACGACGACGATGATGGTGATGATAAAAAATTGTTGTAGATAAGAAACAACAATATACATACGTACTTATATAGGTGGTATAAGTAGGTAACCAACCATATGCAAAGAAATTAATAATATTATTCATTGTTTTGAATATATTTCGTTTTGTTTATATGAGGCACTGAGTGATATTGTAACGTTCCGGATGTAGGGTTTTGAATGCATTATTTTGAAAACAGTCAGTGGGCTAAGTAGTGGGATCAAGTGGAAATTTATTTTTATAACTATGTGCAAGTGACATGTAAACCATTTTGTGTTCGGGGTAATTCCCTATTAAAAATTTTATTTTTAAAGTAGGCTTTCTTTTGTTGAGAAAAATCAATCACTATCGCAATTTGGCAATCACCAGTACAATTTACTGTGCCTGCCATTTTCTCCATTTTATAATTTGTGGCCACAGGAGTGAAAGGGATAATCATTTGGATTTTTTAATTAGAACACACACTATTCCTTGGTCACTTATGAAACGTCCTATAACTCTATTCCAGACTAATATGTTTAAAGAAACAAGTAAAAAAGTGTCAGTCGGTGTTGCCGACAGATATATACCCCCAGCCTATGGTTTGCTGAGGTTTTCGAAATTACACACAGATTTTATATGTTTTTACCAAAGAGGTTTCGGACTTAATGTTGAGGGAGGTACCAGAAGGAGTGGGCCATCTTTGGACATAATCTAGAATTCGTAAAGATAATATGTTGTGTAATGTTTGGTTCAAATTTGACGTTCCATTCGCCTGATATTGCATTTATAAATATTGAACATTTTGGCCATTTGAGGGGAAGGTACCAGAAGGAGTGGACCAATGTGCTCCATCTTCGGACTTAATTTAGACTTCGTAAAGATAATATGTTGTGTAATGTTTGGTTCAAATCTGACGTTCCATTCGCCTGATATTGGATTTACAAATATAGGTAATAGAAGGATTGGATATTAATATTATTATTATTAAATCTTTATTTTGTAATGAAAAGCCTAAGGGGCCAATAAATTATTACAATATGCTTCCAATATTAAATTTGTACATTAACATTTAAATTATTAGAACTTAAAAGTAAATAATATCTAATTAGGAAAAAAACACTTATGACACTTCACAAGGGAAGATCTACTCCTATTAATACCTCGATTGCGAGGTCATAGAAAAAAAAAAATTAAAAACGCTCCCAACTATAATATCAGCGGCAATTACTGCCTCTAAATATAAGTATTTTTAAGGTAGATTAAATAGCATAGAATATTATTCTACTGCTTCTTGAAATAAGACAAGATGCTAATTTCGGTATGATGAAATGGTTACATTAAACCTTTTTAAGTTGTTAGGTAGTGTATTGAATAAACGTGACACTCTTGGAATTGTTAGATTGGTGTTTCTAGTGGATCTTGAAAAATTAAATTGATATTTGCATATTTTATAGAATAAGGAAAGACATTGGATATTAACAAAATTAGTAAATGAAGATCCTATAAAACGGTGAACGAACGAAGAAATGTGATAGTAACGGTTAATACTATAAACATATATGACGACGCTATTAAAAGCCTTTTGAACTCGCTTCATATTATGATGTTAGCACCAGAGTATACCTCAAGACAGTAGAGGATGTTGACCAATTTTGACCATTTTGTGGGGGAGGCACCAAAAGGAGTGGACCGATATTCCCCATCTTCGAATTTAAAATATGTTTAGAAGAAATATTAAGATTTGCAAAGTTTGAATGAAATCGGTTGCTTCAGTAGTGTTGGCGGGTTATTTGGGATACCATTTGTATTTTGTTTTTGGAAAATATTCAAGCTGAAGCCCAGTTTGTTGTTTTGCTTCAGTAGTGTTTTTCAGTAAAAAAAAACCACCCAGCTATACTTGCAATAGATTTCGAAAAGGCTTTTGATCGTGTTGGTATTCATGCCATTCTTGCTACATTGACATCGTGGGGCTGTGGATCCAGGATGTTAAATTTTATTAAATCATTTCTAACCGGTCGAACCTTTCAAGTTAAAATTAATAACTAGCTCTCACAGAGATTTACTTTAAAAATGGCATACCAAATTTTCAAAAAGCCTTCGAATAATAAATAATAGCCAAATATAAGTCTCACAACGGGTATGATAAAATTTATTACTGCCTTTATGCAGATGATATGTGTACATTTTTGAGCCAAAAAAAAGACGACAATATCACAAATAATACACTTTCAAAAATTATGAATTGGTGTAAATTTTGGTAGCAATATATCATCGTCAAAGTCGTACATATATACATAGTTCATATCTCCAGAAAACATAATTGTCATGCCAAACAACTTTACAGTCAACGGTATAACGTTTCTATGTGTTAATGAGTTAAAAATTCTTGGTTTAACATTTAAAATAAATTATCGGTGGGGGGAAGCATTTCTTAAAACTAAAAAAAGGACATTATTCCTAGAGCAAACATAATCAAAAACTTACCCAGCAAATGACTAAAAGCCAGTACTCAATATCTCATATGAATTAAAATGGATGGTTTCACTCCAGAATTTCTGTAAACCTACAATTATATACAAATACAACAATAGCAGTTCCAAACTTATCCAAGTCGACATGTCGGTATATCTTTCAGTCGATAATAAACACAATTTTTATAAACAAATTATTTCACAAAAATTAATCTCCAAACTAAGTAGTTTTTCAATTGCTTTTTTAATGCTTATCAATTCCCTTTTAATAAATACTGGCAAACAAAATACAGCACAAGTTCATTTCATCACTTTATATATTTTTTATTTATCTTTTTCGTTTTTTCAGGCGGTTTTGCATTCGTTTATGTTGCCCAAGATATACAGACGGACAAAGAATATGCCCTGAAGCGTCTCATTGGTGCCGATAAGAAAGCATGTCAGGCTATTATCAATGAAATAAATACACACAAACGTTTGACGGGACATCCGAATATTGTTGGATTTGTTTCGGCGACATTTATTGATAAAACCACAGGACCTCAGCAGCGTGCTGAATATCTACTCTTATCCGAGTTGTGTAAAGGTAAGAGAGTACCAATTAAATATTATTTATTATTAGCAGAGAATGGTCGCAGTGGTTTAATTTGGAAATTGAATTGTAATCTAATTACTAATATTTTTTATCTCTCAACTTTATCTCTCTATAGTATAACAACTAAGCATAACAAATTTCCAAACAATTTGAGGCTCTGTTCGTGGATAATGTTATATTTGTTTTATTACTTTTTCCAGGAGGTTCATTAATCGATTGTATGGGCTCAACACTAGAACCTCCAGTCGTATTGAGAATATTTTATCAGGCCGTTAAAGCTGTGGCCCATATGCATTCACAAACGCCTCCGATTATTCATCGGGATATAAAAATTGAAAATTATTTACTGGGCGATGATAAACAATTGAAATTGTGTGATTTTGGTTCGTCAACAAGTGAAACGTTTGCACCCACACTAGATTGGAATGCTCAGCAAAGGAATACTTTGGAGGATCAGGTAAACTATACAAAATGATTAAATGATTTTTTAATAAAAAAGTATCCCCTTTCAGTTAAGCTGTGTCACCACACCCATGTATCGGGCCCCTGAAATGCTCGACACCTGGTCAAATTATGAAGTGGGCACCAAAGTAGATGTCTGGTCATTGGGCTGTATTTTATATGTCCTGTGCTTTCAAAAACATCCCTTTGAGGATTCAGCCAAGTTACGCATAATAAATGGAAATTATACAATACCAACAGATTCGAGATTCCAATGTTTTCATGATATAATTCGAGGTATGAGATGTGATGAAGATATGCCCACTAAGAAAATTAAAAATAAATTTTCTATTTTTTCGCCTTTTTTAGGTTGTTTAACAGTCGATCCAGCACATCGTTTTAGCATCTCAACAATATTGGATCGTTTGGCTGCCATATCGGAAACAATGCAGTGGAGTTTAAAAGGCCCCTTGGATTTGCGTGGTAAACCAATTGTTACCACCACCCCAGAACATTTAAGTCCACAACCATTAGGTTGCCAGCCACAACAACAACGTTCCTCTGCCGGAAATTCTATATTTTATGATGATCCTTCCAACAATGTACCACCAGGTCAAACGTCTTCTCAACACCAGCAACAAAGTTCCTCTTCTTCAATGAATTCAACCAATGGCAGTTTATTGTCTTCGCTGCGTGGTGGTGCCGGTAGTTTTTTGAAAAATCTCAAAGACACCTCTTCGAAGGTTATGCAAACAATGCAACAGACAATCGCACGCTCAGATTTGGATATTAGTTATATAACATCACGGGTATTGGTAATGCCATGCCCCTCCGAAGGCTTTGAATCGGCATACAAGACAAACAATATCGAAGATGTCCGACTGTCAATTGAAAGTCGTTTTCCTCCGCAAAAAGTTAGCGTTTATAATTTTGGTCCTCGATCTTGCCCACGACTGGCGCCACCCGTTCGCACAGTGGAAGCTGGCAGCATATATGGTTGTTCTCAGGCTCGTGCACCCAATTTGCAGGTAAATGACATATACTTCTTTTCCAGGACGTATGAATTTGTTTCAAACAAAAACTGTATTTTTGCGTTCTATAGAGTCCCAGATTTCTTTGTACATTTTATTTCATCATATTTTATATCCCATTGAACCCTCATCTCATTTCTTGTCTTTGCAGGGCCTCTTTTCCGTTGCTGAAGATATGTACGGTTTCCTTACAGCTGATCCCAAATCAATTGTTATTATACAAACTGGCGATTCGGGCGGTTGTACAGCAGCAACACTGGTATGCGCCTTACTTATGTATTCCGATTTGATTTTAGAACCCGAAGATGCTGTCCAGGTGTTTGCCGTCAAACGTCATCCCGTGAATTTACGACCATCGGAATTTCGTTATCTCTACTATTTGGGTGATATTCTACGCCCAACGCCATTGCTGCCTCACTATAAAAATATTAATTTGATATCGTTAAGTTGTCAACCAGTACCTCGTATGACTAAGACACGTGATGGTTGTCGCATTTATATCGAAATTTACAATAATGAACGTCTGCTACTCTCCACAATGCAAGACTACGAGAAAATGCGTTTATATATGGCGGGGCCGGGCAAAATCACTCTGCCCATTAATGTGACCGTGTGTGGTGATTTTGTTGTGGTTCTATATCATGCCCGCAAAGGTATGGTTAGACCACAGGGTATCAAAATATGTCAATTTCAATTGCACACAGGTTTTATACCCGAGCAAGAGACATTGATAAATTTTGCCACACAAGATTTGGATGATTTACCCACAGACGCCGAGTGTGTACCTCCAAATTTTGCCGTCTCTTTGTCTCTGGCTGTTATGGATACTGAATCGCCACCGACACGCAATCCACCATGGCTTTTAACCAAACCCAGTCGTAATGCTTTTAATTTGTTTAGCTCACAGTTGGAATATGAAGAAATGATCGATAATTTTGTGACAAAACCAACAGCAAAGGACTCGGCCGCACAGCAGTCTAGACCTGCAGTGGCGACCGTCACACACAAAGAAAAACCCATGACTCCGCCATTGATAATGCCGGACATAACAGAAATTTCACATGAATCACATTTTACCCAACCGGATCCAGCTCCACCCATAGATTTGCTAAATCTAAATCAACCCTCAGCTACACATCACAACTTCACCGATCCCCAGGCAACAGCTATGCCTTCAACAGATGCTAGCTTCGATCTGTTGGGTGCATTTGGTGATGATGATTCATCGGGTATTGGTACCGCACCAATACCAGATATTTTGGCAAATAATTCTCAGCCTAAATCAGCGGCAGATTTAGATGATATATTCGGGCCGCTACAATCGGAGGCACCTTCCACGTTTAATTTAGATTTTAATGCTTTTGCTTCGCCAACACCAACACCTCAGACAGCAGCTCCACCATTTTGTGCTCCCAAGATAACAACAAGTAATTCAGCTACTAATGTACCCACTTTTAACACAGTGCCCACATTTAACACGCCGACAGTAAATAAGGAACCCCAGCAACAGGTAATTGGAATTATTTACTTAAAAAAATAATTTTATTAAAAATGAATTACCTTTTAGCCCAAAGATCCATTTGCCGACATTGCCAGCTTAGCTACCGGTTTAAATATCAACTTTACACCTCAGACACTGGGTGGCAAATCAGCTGGTCACACTCCAGTGGGTACAAGTCCATTTGCCACACATTTTTCCAGTCCCACACATAACAACAACATCAACGCAACACCCAATTCAACACGTATGCCCAGTAATACCGTGCCCCAACCATCACCCAATCACATGAAATCTCCAAATAATACAACATTTGGTATGCAAGCTCCCCCTCCATCATTTGCCACACCCTCACCCCAACCAACAGGTGTTGCAGCTGGTACCACTCCGACATCGGCCCCAACAAATACACGGCCCGATTATAGTCGTTCACATTTCGAACAACCCAAACCCGCAGGCTCAACAGCATCACAACAATCAAAAAGTTCAGATATTTTTGCTGACATCTTGGGTGAGCAGGGTTATAAGTTTACAAGTAAAGCCAATCAGGGTCCACGATCGATAAATGAAATGCGCAAGGAAGATTTAATCAAAGATATGGATCCGAAAAAGGTTATGATTATGGAATGGGTAAGTGAAGTCAAATATCCTTCAATTGTTGGTAAACATTTGTTAATAAGTCCGATTTGTATTCTGTTGTTGTTGCATTTTCAGACGGAGGGCAAAAAGAATAATATACGTGCTTTGTTATGTTCAATGCATACTGTGTTGTGGGCCGATGCCAAATGGACTAAATGTGAAATGTCTCAGCTAATAACACCGGCCGATGTTAAGAAGGGTTATCGCAAGGCATGTCTGGCTGTACATCCGGATAAGGTATGTATTAACATATGTGTGACTTAATTTCATCAATGAATCATCAAGTGAAAATGAAAATTTAACCTCCGCTAATGAGCTTCATAATCTTTGAAGTGAAGCAGTCTTTATTAGGTATCATTCATCTCCATATACCACTTAATCGTGTCCAAAGATGGGACCTATCGGTCCACTCCTTCTGGTACTTCCCCCACATAGAGTCAAAATTTTGAAAAGTTGTTAATTCAATATCAAACGAATGGACTGTCCGACTTGATCCAAACTTTGCAAATCGTAATACTTTATCACTCTTTTTTTTCAATTAACTCCTCTCCTCCTTGGCTCACGTCCTTTTTGGTATTAGAATGTTCAGAGCCATGTCTCCATATGTAGCTTAAGCTACGAATTTGACTTTATCCATAGATGGTGGTTTGTGTGTTTGCAGATTGACTTCGATCTTCTTTAAGAATTTGACCACAACGTTCAGACTTTCTAAGCCTTGTGTATCAGTGAACTCTTCTACTGTGAAGGAGTCACATAGTTGCGAAAAGCATCTTCTTTTGTTATTGAATTTACGAAAATTAAAAAATTTCATGCGCAGCTGTTTGGATTCTGTTGAACGACTCGTGATTTATAGGTTATCCGTATTTAAAAACACACGTGTTAGTTAAGCGAACGCTTAACAACCGCCATTTTGTAAAAATCTATTTTTAAGCCCGTGGGCGTGTAATACTCATTTAAAATTTTACGTCTTTCTTGTGAGCCGTCCGAGGACGAACTGCTTTATCACTCTTGTTCATTTGCTACTCGAGTTAAGACGTGTTTTTTCTTATTAGCAAGTGTCATTCACAGTATGTATCACACAGTTATTCTTAAATATTATAAAACAAAAACAAGATTAAACGTTCTCGCAGAGAAGACACCGTTAAGCGGTGTACACACTATCATTTTTGACTGTCAACTTTTTTATCGATTACTGACTGTCCAACAGCCATAAATATTTTTGTGGTCGCCTGTTGAATGACAAACATGTGAGGCAACACTATCAAACAAGCAAAATTTGGGCAAAAGTGCCATTCAAAAATGCTAGTGTGTATACCGCATTACTCATGCCCACAGCTTGAGTAAGAAAACAAAACATTGTAGCTCTCTGAGAGCAGAAAATCAGAACTATTTTCACCCTCTGCAAACGATCGATGATGATAGTGACAATGTCGGATGGATAATTATCGATGACTCGATAAAAAAGGTGGGAATACCTCCGATAACACTTCTAAAGTACAAAACTGAACAGTTGCATGAAATGTGCAAAATTTTAGAAGTAACGGACTATTCCATCAAAAAATATCAATTGTACTTAAACTGCATTGCCCAAAGAAAGAAGATTTCAAATTGGTCTGCGAAAGAGCATCGCCGCAATTTAATTTCGAAATTTGTACTTATGGCACTAAAAACGTGAAGCCATCCATATAAAGCCATTCTTTTGGATCTCAAAATGGGATCATCAAAAAATTAAAAGCTTTTACTATTAGCGAAAGAGCTGAAATCCACTGATGTGAAAATCGTTACTAGAAAGCAAAATAAAGGCAAGAAAGTTATCATTCAACTATTGAGTGCATGAAAGTGAAATGGGTGTACCAAAACCTGAATCAATCGAAACTCACTCAGTGTCACAACTGTCAAATTTTCGGACATGGAACCAGTAGGTGCAATGTTATATCGTTCTGATCAAATTGTGCAGGAAATCATATAACAGCAAACTGTAACGAACATATTTTGAAATGTGCAAATTGTGGTGGCGATCATGAGGAAACCTCTACTCAATGTCCCAGTAGATTTAAATACATTGAAAAAAGAAAGAGACTGAAGCCGAAAAGAAATATTCGTAGCCAAACAAATTATTCAATGTACCAGAATTATAATAATCAATTTCCCCATAAACTGAATCAAGTATTACCTCCTGAAAATAGTTGGCCAAATATTAAACAAACTGAACCAAATAATTTGTTCTCAATTGAGAATTTAAATTTAACATTCAAATTAATTCCTAAATTAAGAAATTGTAAAACAAAACTTGACCCGTCTGATATCATAACCGGCATTGCTTTAAATTTCTAAATTGTACAATAACATAAAAATAATTTCCTGGAATGCTAGTGGCGTAAGGAATAAACAAGAAGAACTTATTCAATTTTTAAACATAAATGAGAATGAAATTTGCCTTATATGTGAAACTTGGCTAAATTCCAGTATTTCTATCAAGAACCAATTCTTCACATGCTATGATGATTGCCGTGGTAGAAGAGGTGGAGGCGTTGTAGAATTAAGTAGAAACTTATTGAAAATATTTATTTAAATAATACTGCAATAGAAATAGATGGATTTATATACCTAACAAAAATTATGAATGCTTGTTTTTTGAAACTGTGCTATTTTCCGTGTGAATGGTCTACAGACTAACAAACACTAAACAAGTCATCAGTTTAATTAAAAAATTAAAAAACAAAAAATCATTGGGTGTCGATGGCATAAATTACAAATGTTACCAATAGATGGATTTATATACCTACCAAAAATTATGAATGCTTGTTTAAAACTGTGCTATTTTCCGTGTGAATGGAAGCTTTCTAAAACAGCTCCTATTCAGTTCAATAAGCAAGCCTGATGATGATCCAAAATCATACAGACCAGTTAGCTTACTTACCATCATCTCTCAGCTAAATTTTTGAAAAAAAAAAAATTGAACGAGATATTGCCAATACAACAATTTGGTTTTCGTAGACATCTGAACACTTGTCACCCTCTCGTTAAGATACCCAATGGTCATCCTCAAGGATCCTGTTTGTCACCAATCTTATACAATATATATATACTGCTAACGTACCTGTACTAAATGAATGTATTGTGTCTATATTCGTCGACGACACTTCGATAATTAATAAAGGTATATACTCCAACACAATATCAGTAAATCTGCAACAAGCTCTTGTTAAAATCAATAATTACTTAAAATAATGGAAAATTCTTGTAAATCCGGATAAAACGCAAGCAATATACTTTTCACGGAAACGTAAACCAGCTATTTGTCTCAACAACCACTACGTTTTCAAAATCATGACGTAGATTGGGAATAAAAGGCTATATACTTGACAGTCATCTTGGACAGAAAACTAAATTTTTCGTGACCACATTTCATACGTCGTGGATAAAACCAATAAGGTCACCAGAATCATGTACCCATTAATTAACCGAAAATCCGGCCTAAACAAGGAAAACAAGAAATTGATTATAGAATAAATTTTCCTACCAATATTTTATTATTATGAACCATTATTTTTGGAGGCAGCAAATTGCCACATAAATAAACTACAGGGGGCTCAAAACAAGTTATTAAAAATGATATTTGATTTGCGAAGACTGCATCCCCTATCTGGGTTCCTACTAGTGAAAGACCAACTAGAAATATCTAGATCCAATTTTGTTGCTCGATGTATATCTTCGTGTGCGCCCACATCAATGAAATCGTTTCATAAAAGGGTTTAACAACACCCCATATCTAGTCATTCAAATCGTATGGTTTATTTAGTTCTTCCATACTTTTACCAAACATGGACCATATTCGAAAATGAGAACTATCGGTCCACTTCTTCCGGTACTTCTCCGACACTAACATTGTTTTTCGAAGAAAAATTAAAGATTTTTATTTGCATCCTTAGATACTCTCAATGTTTCTTTTTTAATAATGACTTTGTTACTTCGATTTATCTATATGTGTTACTAATTATTTTTTTCTTAATTAACTAATTATTCTTTTTTCTTGTTGTTGGTTGGGGAACCGGAAGAATCATTATTTTGAGAATTATAAATTGTAGCATATTTTTTATATATATGAATTATGTTTAACAATAACTTCGATATAACCAATAACACATCATTACCACCCAATATGAAAATTTTAGTTTTAATAAAATACATAACCTAAAAAATACGTTTTTATTTTCTTTTTTTAGCATAATGGCACAGAAAATGAAGAAATTGCTAAAATGATTTTCATGGAACTTAATAACGCTTGGACTGACTTTGAAAATGATGCCACTCAGCAGAATATGTTCAATTAAAAATAAAACACACACACAAACAAAGATTTGCTATTATATAGGACACCAAACTCTATTTCTTAATTAAAAGTGGAAACACGACAGACAGACAAACAAACAAAAAAATGTAATTGAATGTGTAAAACAATGGAGTATGATGCTAAGCTCCTCCCCAAGCTACTACAAAGTAGAAGTTATTCTTAAAAAACACAAAAAAGAAAAAATCGTACGCGCTATTAAATGCTTTAAGCTCTTAATTCTAAAATCAAAAACAAAACAAACAAAAAAACCCTAATTACTAATTTGCAAAACTGTATAGGAAAAATTATAGACTTTATTTACTTAAAATATTTATCTATAATAACGTCATTTCTACAAATCGTTTAATTTTTAATAGGAAAATATTTATATATTTCTTTTTTCTCTCTCCAAAATGGGACTGTCTACTTTTTTGTAGAATTTTTTTATTATTGTTCTTTTTTTCGTCATCTTCTTTAAATAAATACAAAATATTTAAAAAATTGAATTTTTTATTAGCAAAGTATTAAAATGTTAACGCAAAGAAATTATCTAAACAAATTATATTTTTATAGACTTTAAGTTTTTTTTTTTTAATTTTTATTATAATTATTAATAAAACTCATAGTTAAATGTGAATGGAAAGCTCAGAATTTTCCTCCCACTCTTTATATATTTTTCTAAACTAAATTAAAATCCATTCCAATAAAAAAATTCCCCAACACACGAGATCCTAGTAATATTAATTTATTTACTTAAATACAACAATACAATGTAAATAAGTTATTAGGGGTAAAAATGTGTCGCCCTTCCCCATCCCAAAATAAAATTTATTAAATAATACCCTTTAAATAAATAATAAAAAATAAAAATACAACACACGGTCTAAACGCATACAAAACAAAGAAAAGAAAACTCTTAGATATTTTTGTGTCAATGTATATATTTTAAGAAAAAATAATTATTATTATATATTTAGTTATAAAATATATATATTTTGATCGTATGAAATTACACATTAAAATATAAAAAAATAATAATATTTAAATATATATACAAAATACATATATTAAATATATTATATTTCATTGGTTTTATTTTAATTCCCATCTCTGGGTGGGTTTTGCAAATTCGTAATTTTGTGAAGAGAGAAAATTTTAAATAGATGTAAACAGGAAATAAATTTAAAATCCTTTGGGGAACGTTTTGTTAGCAAAAACAATTTGTTCTTGTTTTTTGTTTTTTTTTTTTTGTTTTTTGAATCGCTCTTGGCCCTTTGGGCTAGATTCTCGTATATAAAATAAATTGAAATTGAATTGAAATTTAAAATCCTTTTGCGGAATGTTTTTTGTTACACAATACAAAATTTTTGCATTTATTTAACCTGTTTTCCAGCCACAAATACCTTCACAATATTACGATCATCTCCGGTATAAATAAATTTCTGAACCATTTCTAATAGTTTCACTTCTGGCGATTTCTTCTCATAATCTTCCGCATTATAGAAGCCATAATTATGCAATGGATATACACCAGTATCAATTAGCAATGCATCGAATTCTTTGCCCACAACAAAATTACCACATACATGATCTAAGGCCAAGGCTTCGGCACCACCCAATGTTGCCAAATATATGGCTTGTTTATAATCAAGTGGCTTGTAGTTGGGATTTTCGGGATTCTGTAAACGACCCGTGCCAAACATGTGCTGCTTTTTAACAAACTCCAGATGGTGAGAAACGTCAAGAGCGCGCAATATGGCATCTTGTATTGAAATGGAATTGCCACCAGAGACATCTAAAGAAAGGAAATATTAAAAAATATACATTTTCAATTCAATTTTAAATTAATATTCAAAGCCTTCAGTTCCATATAAATTACCAAATTAAAAAATTATATCTACCTGTTCCCAAACCAACTTTCACACCATTCTCAATTAAACGCAAAACATCACAAAATCCCGAACTAAGCATTGTATTCGATGCTGGACAATGGGCCACCGAAGTGCCGCGTTCTTTGAACAAGGCAATTTCATCGTCTTCCAAGTGGACAGCATGAGCCATAACAGTCTGAAATTTTAATAAAAATAAATAAATTTAAAATTTAAATATTTTATTTATTTTTTTTTACAAAACAAAAAAAAACAATAATTATATATAATAATTCCCATTTACCTTATTTGTCAACAGACCAGCATTATCATAAGCCTTGGCATAGGATGTTCCGAACAATTGCTTAACAAAATCAATTTCAGCTACACTTTCACTTATGTGACTCTAAAGGAAAGTATTAAATTAGTCTATATTTAAAAAAAGTGTTTTTTTTTTTCTTAATTTCCACCTGTATATGTAAATTGTGCTCCTTGGCAATAGCACCCAAACCGCTTAACAGTTCCTTGGTACAACTCAACGCAAATCGTGGTGTAATAATTGGTTTCACCAAATCCGTTGACAGCTTTGACATCTCATCGACAAATTCTTTTGTTGCACACAAAGAATCTTTGGTTTTCTCTCTGCAATAAAAAGAGGATAAATTATAATTAAAAAAGGAAGAATAAGAATCTATTATTATTATTACGAGGAAGGTGGAAATAGTTTCGATGGCTAAAAAAATTGGACAGAAAAAACATATTACGTGCTAAGGTTGCTCTTTCCCAACCACTTTAGTTTTCTAATGATGTTGTAGATTAAAGCAGGTTCCATGAGATGGAAAGAAGCTTAGCGACGGTGGAATGTGAGCACCCACTAGTCTGTGCCGTCTGTAGGACAGGACCGGGCAGCGAACCATGAGATGCTCAGTTGTCTTCGTCTCCTCCGCGTCGTCAGCACAGAGTCTGCAGTAATCAGTAACATCATGGTCCCATTTACTGGTAAATGCCCTGATATTGCAATGACCAGTAATGTTTCCTGTCATTACTCTTATCCCTTTTGGTAAACAGGGTCGTCCAAATATATCTTGAAACATTGCACCTAGGTTCGTTGTAGGCTCTTTTGTCGGAAAACGCTTCAAAGTTCCTATAAAGACGACATATGGGTGGTTTGATTGAGCAATCGATTGATGGAGATTCTCGTCTAGCTAATTCGTCTGCTCTTTCATTACCCATGATGTTCGCGGTGTCCTGGTGCCCAACACAGCCGATAGTTGTAAGTGAGTGTTTCCAAAACTGTTCCTCACTCGAGGACGACCTAGGATTTGATATTGATGTCTTTAAGAGCCGCTTGACTATCCACAAAGATAGTCACCGGTTCAACGATCTCTGCCTCCCTACTTTTTATCAATTCCGCTGTCACCCAAATAGCGAAGATTTCAGCTTGGAAAACACTACAGTTGCTATCCAGCTTGTAGGTAAGCTCAAGGTCTAGACTTTCACAGTAGACACCAGCCCCTGTACCTTCTTCCATCTGGGATTCGTTTGTATAAAAAGCCAGACGGTCCAGAGGAGGGTTGCTACGGTTCCAGTCGTCTCTACTAGGGATAACGACGTTAAATCTCAGGACTGGTGATATATTCGCTTAGTTTTACGCATTGGTCCAATGTCATATCTAGTTTGTTCAGGATACAACCATGCCCAAAGGTACAAATTCGCCAAAGATTCTGTTCATGCAGCCTTAGGGCACTACGCGCGGCCTGACACTTAATGCTGTGGCCTAGAGGTCTTAAGTTGGTATGTTTCCGTACTGCGAGGATCTATTAATTTTTACCATTTTATTCGATATAATAAAGGAATAACAATTATGGTAGTAAAAAATAGAAGATTCTTGCAGTGCGGGAACAGACAAACATATGTTTATAATTTAGTTGTACTTACACGTAAAAGTCAGGACTATTGCAGTTGGAACAAACTTTGCCAACCAAGGCTCGTTGTCCTTGTCTAACAGCTTCTTTAGCTAGGATCAAAGTGCTATCTTTGTCATTGGTTCCAAAATAGCATGACAATGTAGTACCGCTCTTAAGAGTAGATTCCTGAAAATACAATATACTTTTTTTTACAAAATATGTTAAATATATATTTTTTCTGGTAAATTAATACTTCCAGAGATATGGGGTTCTAATTTTCTAAAAATACCTTTTTTAAATACCATTAGTAGTATTACCACCCACATTTTTTAAAATTTTATCATAGTAATGTTCTTGTAATCAGTATCAAACCATATTAACCGAATAATAATTAAATTAAATATACGTAATTACCACAACTCTTTTATAAACTTTAGCAGCAAATTCTTTATCGGTAAATTTCGCCTCCAATGGGAATGTATAGGTGTTTAACCACTCAAGCAGCTTCATATCTAAACCCAAACCTATTTGGGCAACTTGTGGAGCATGTATATGACAATCAACCAGACCAGGCATAAGGAATTGTTCCTTGGTCATTTGAATTTGTTCCGCATCCTGTGGAAAATCTTTGCCTGCACCACATTTCCACGATTCATAATCATCACCTTCGCCAACAATCTACAAGTGATCGATAAATATTTATTGATTTCATTATTAATTGTCAAGACAACATTCGTCACATCACATTACAATACCTTGCCATCTTTGACAGCTACAAATCCATTTGGGTAGACAACAAATTCATTCAGTGATTTGGTATAGATCACTTGTCCCAAGAATACACGAGCGGTCATGTTGACGTTGTTTAGTTCTGAGTTATTTGGCGAAGTGTTATTGAATTAATTAATTCGGAACGTGTTCACCTACCGATCATTAACTATTGAACGATCTTTTTTGAATATGTTGTTCTTATCAGAACAGAAAGCTCTGCGACTCGGTGGAATCAACTTAAACATAAACAACAGAGATGTATGCGAATGGTAGTAAAATAAACTTGTTTTGTAAACTTGCAGTGATGCCAATCATATTAAATATTGTAAGCCGCTGAAAACAATGATCTTCGATAAAAAATGTGCCCATCAAAATATTGGTTTTAGACCCCATGAAAATGATTTTTATAATATCATGCGAACGGACTATTCGATTTGAATCAAACCTTGCACAATCTATTACATTTACCAAGTCTATATCAAGAGACGACGGTATAGATTGTGTACCAATTAACCAAGATGAGGTCAGAATAGCAATTAATCAGCTGAATAATAATAAAGCAGCAGTTGCCGATGGATTACCAGCCAAACTATTCAAGGCCGCTGATCAGGAGGATGCACCAACTGATTAGTAGCGTTTGGCTGAAGAATGCATGTCCAATGATTGGAACCACAGTATCCTGTGCACAAAAAAAGGACCATACAATTCAGACCTGGCAAATCCACCAGTGATCAGATTTTCAATCTGCGCCAAATCCAGGAAAAGACCCACGAAAAACACAACGACACATTCCACCTATTTGTCGACTAAAAAGTCGCATTCGATAGCCCGATAGATGTATTAAAAGTCATGTCTGCGTTCGGCATTCCTGCAAAATTAATACGTCTATGCAGCATAACTTTAACTGGCACAAGGTCAGCAATTAATGTCGGAAAGGATCATTCGGACCCCTTAAAGACCGAACGAGGATTCAGACAAGATGACAGTTTGTTCTGTGACCTTTTTGACATCCTATTGGAAAAAGGCATACGAGATGCAAATGTGAACAGAAATGGGACTCTGTATACCAAAGAACACATGTTACTCGCCTACGCCGATGACATCGATATAATGGGTAGAACATTGCGAGCGGTATCAGCCACATTTGATTGAATTGAGGAGTCTGCCAAAGTGGGACTGGCAGTAAATGGCGAGAAGACCAAACTGATGGAATCGAACCAACTGTGGAACATGAGAACTACAATTTCGAGGTAGTAAACGGTTTTTAATAACATCAAAGCTAATAACATCAGCTTTGAAATCCGGAGGAGAATAGTGTTGGTCAACAGATGGTTGAAATTGATATCATAAGACATGCCCCTTTTTGGAATAGAATATAAAAATACGTTATAATTTTAGATCTCTATGAACAGCTGTTATCGTCAATCTGCTTTGTCCCTTACATTCTAAACATATATCCAATTGGAAATTTTATTTTGCCTCTCATTCTAAACAACGAACGTTTTTCCATTAGAACATTTTGCACATTTTGCTTTATCATGACGTTTATTTTGAATTTTCTTATCTGTGAGCGGTGCAGAAAAGAACGATGTGTCAACACAGGAGGAGATTTGTTTGCAAAAGATATAAAAATTATTTATTTTTTGCGTTTTGAAAAATGTGTTCGTTAAACCGCCTTAATAAATGTATCAAAATTCCAACAAAATGAACGAAGATAAAAGTGGTCGGGGCGAATTGAAAGACGCCGACAATAATGGTATGAAATGCCACCGGATGTGTTCATCATTTGAGGAGAAGAAGGCCAAGTCGCAGCCAAGTAAAGTCTCTAAATTAACTCATATTGTGGAGGAAATTTCGGCCAGCGGGGACAAAAGCTATTATTGTACGGCATGTCATAAGCGATTTAAAAGTCGTACCCAGAAATACTATCACCTGGAATGTATTCAACTTCATGAACAACTATTTCAATGTGATACTTGTCCCAAGGTATGAATGGTGCCTGCTGGGTGGCTCTATGTTATTTATTTTTTTTTATTAAAATTTTATCTTTTTAGACTTTTTCCCGACAATCACAATTAAAATATCACCTAGAATCCCATGCATCACCCATAAATAAATGTTCCAAATGCGGGAAAATATTTTCCAACCCTCTGGCTTTAAAGAAACACGAAGGTCTGCATAAAGTTGAGCCAAAACCTTGTCCACACTGTGATAAAACATTTTTAAAGAAGACCTCACTGGAGGAACACATAAATGGTCAACACATGCACAATTTGCAATATGGCTGTGCCAGTTGCCATAAAAGATATTCTTCCAAGTCCACACTGCAGCTGCATGTATTATCACATGCAGGTGAGTACATATAATAGACAAATTTATTACAACACAATTTTTTATATTGAATAAAATTGTGGTTTTTTTAGAGAAACGTTTCGAGTGTAAATTGTGTGGTAAACAGTTTCAACGCAATTCCATTTTAAATGCGCACATGAGGCGTCATAATCAAATAAAAACAGCCAACTACAAGTGTAGTGGCTGTGAAAAAGTTTTCTCAGAGCCTGGAGCACTGTCACGACACCGTAAAATACATGAAGGTAGGTCATGATTTTTACACACAGCATTTTTATACCCTCCAGCATAAGTTGTATTAAATTTTCTATTATGTTTGCAACACTTCCAAGTATTCTTCGGAAACGCCATAAAGGTTATATGGATATTATTGATCAGAATAAAATATGACAAACATTGTCCGGACAATATATCTAAATATAATTTTGTCCATACATTCCCACTACTCCTAAGAGGTTTTTTTTAGTACACCCTTTAATAAAGGGATTTATTGAAGCTGCAATATCTTCTGAAAATAAACGAAAAAAAAAAGAAATTATGGCTCGTGGACTAATCCTGCTTTAGAGACTCTGGACCTTCTATCGGATACTCAATTTAAAGGGAACAAAGTCTTGGTTGCGGATAGTTTTATGGTATTCAACATCAGTCCATGGCAATTGAATATCTGATAGAATGCCTAACAAGTTATACAAAAACTGGTATGGGCGATTAACACTTTTCAACCCTTCAAATCTCTTGGACTAGATGGTATAAAACCTGAAATTTTGCAGAGTGTCTCAGAGCAGTTTTTTATAACACTGAGAGAGATTTCCAGGGCCTGTCTGAAGTAATTCATGCCATGCTAATTCATAGAATGCCTAACAAGTTATCCAAAAACTGGTATGGGCGAATAACACTTTTCAACCCTTCAAATCTCCTGGACTAGATGGTATAAAACCTGAAATTTTGCAGAGTGTCTCCGAGCAGTTTTTTTATAACACTGAGGGAGATTTTCAGGGCCTGTCTGAAAGAAGTAAAAGTGACATAAATTCTCAAGGTTGGGAAACCCTGTCACACTTTACCGCAAAATACATACCGATTAAGTTACCAAATCCCATCAAGCCTACATCGGAGGCAAATTTGTAGATACATGAATTAGTTGAGTATATTGAGAGAAATTTGGAGAACTCCAACTAACGTTGGCAGATTTTTTCGATTTAGTGGGAGCTTTTAAAGGACTTCTCGGAGCCCTTTAATACCGAACGAGGATTCAGACAAGGTGACAATTTGTCCTGTGATCTTTTTAAGATCCTGCTGGAAAAGATCATACGAGAGGCAAAGGTGAACAGAAATGGCACTCTGCACTCCAAACAATACATGTTACTCGCCTACCCCGAAGACATCGATATAATGGGTCGAACTTTGCGAGCGGTAGCAGTCATCTTTGAACAAATTGAGAAAGAGTCTGCCAAAGTGGGTTTGGCAGTAAACGGCTGATGGTATCGGGCCAACTGTGGAACATGAGAACTACAGCTTCGAGGTAGTTAAAGATTTTATATGCCTTGGCTCCTCCATAAATAAAACTAATGATATCAATTTTGAAATTCGGAGAAGAATTTTGATGGTCAACAGATGCTACTATGGTCTAAGTAAGAGTAAGAGATGCTACTATGGTATAAGTAAGTAATATGGATCTGAAGCATGGGTACTTGCGCAAGCAGTTGAGGCAGCTCTTGGGCTGTTTGAGAGAAAATTTCTCCAAAAGATCAATGGGCCGATCTGCGTCGACGGTGAATATCGTCGTCGAATGAACCATGTGCTATACCATCTATTCTCAGACACCGACATAGTCAGACGGATCGAGCTGCTAGGCCATCAGTTGACTCGCTTTTATATGCCAGCTCAAAAGGCATATAAAAGCGAGTCAACTGATGGTACACGCAGAAGGGGAAGGCCACGAATCCGATGGAAAGATCAAGTAGAAAACAACATCTCGGAAAATTGTCTTTCAAATTGGATGAGATGCGCACAAGACCGACGCGCCAGAAAATCTTTTTTAAGCTTTGGCTTATAGAACAACCGTTCTATAACAAGCCAGCTAAGTAAGTAAGTGATATAGTGCCCGTATAACTGTACCACCACATTTTCGGTATTTTGAACATTTTATCGAGGGTTGTAATTTGGCATTTGTTTACATAACATTTTTACTTAACCCCACCGAATTTTCCAAAGGATAGAAAATATGTTAGGTATTTGAAATACACATCTCATGGTGGAGGGCGTAAAATGTGTTGTCCTACGAAGTTCTTTCTTTTAATTTAATCTGTTTTTTATTTTGTAGAAGATTCCATTCGCTACTATTGTATATTATGCGATTTGAATATTTTGCGTAAGGACAATATGTCAAGGCATATTAAAACTATACATCCCGATGAGCAATATGAAGATATTGTTAAGATTTTAAAGCCCACATTATATAAATCTAAAGAACAGTTATTAGAAATAACTGCAAATAAGACTGAAAAGCAACAAGAACATAAGCATGAAGATTTTACTGATAATAAATCGACTAACGAACTGGGACCATCAAATACCATTGTCATTATTGAAAATAAATTATTGCAAAGACCTAACACAGATTTACAGATTTATGATGGACAAGCAATAAATCAAATTCATGTTATTACGACCCTGCCGACTACTACTTTGCAGCAGGATGATAATAATATGGAATATAACAAATCTTCCATTGAAGACTTAAATGAAAATAGGAAGCGGAGTACTCAAAATAATTGTAGATATAATTGCCCGGAAAATCAATCATTCAATGATAAAACTCACCATAGACTGCATGAAATATCCTTTGATTATGATCAAAACAATGGAACTCTTCCAACATCATATTCGGCATCATTTACATGTTCGCAAGACAATCGGTTTACTGCTCCTGCGGATATAAGCAAATTTCAAATGGCCAAGGATTGTCGAATCAATGAAACCAATATCAACCAGAATAAATTTCCTCCTCCGGAAACAATTTCCGAGCACAACAGAAATATTGCAACATCTAGTAAAGAACTCAACTCCATTGCTGTTGTTCACAAGCCCTCCGTTATACGTTCCGTGGGAAATGTGAGTAAGAAAATATCCCTTCCCGTGCATGACACTGAAATCGTTACAAAACCACCCAAGGAAATCAAATCAGCAATGGACTATGAATATAAACACAAGAAATATAATCGTTGCTATAATGTGGATTTGTATCGCAAAATTTTGGGCATCACCGGTGACGATGATGACGACGAAGAAGATAATGTGGATACAAATTGTAATTCCTCTCAGTCGGAAAAACAATCTAAAGAAATAACGCCTAAAATTCCAGAAGATTGTCGCCTAACTGGATCGGCAAATGGAATTGCTGCTGTACATTGGCGTAAAAGCTTTAAACATATCTATGAAACTTCGTCAATGTAATAACTGAAAACTTTCATATATTATAAAATACAATAATTATTAAAAATAATTTATTAAATATATTACATTGTATTCTCTATTTTACATATTTATTTAAAATAGATTTTAAAACAATAAATTATTTATTTTTTAAGAATATTTATAATATTTTTTATAAAAATTTTTAAGCCAAAATTGTGTTCTCTAAGGGCGTTTTAATCATTTAGTTTATTAACTAAAGGTATATTAAATAATAAATACAATTTTTCATTGCATTCAATATTTGTTTTTTATTTAAAAATATAAAATATGAATCTTCTTCGCCATCACTTGTACTAATAGCACCAGTGGCATTACCTACAGAAATTCTAGAAACCAAGAAAAAAAAGGTAGAACATGTTTAACGGACGGATTCAGAAGACCCTATTAACCATCATGATAATAAAGTTTGTATTATTTTATGAAGCTTGTGTTAATATTTTTTATTATGTGCAATCAAAATTCATTAAACAATTTTTTATACCCTCAGCCTTATGGCTGTTGCCGCTCGCAATGTTCGATCCATTATGTCTATGTCATCGGCGTAGGCGAGTAAAATGTGTTGTTTGGTGACATTTCTATTCACCTCTCGTATAACCTTTTCAAGCAGGATGTTAAAAATTTCACAAGACAAACTGTTACCTTGTCTGAATCCACGTTGGGTATTAAAGGGCTCCGCGAGGTCATTTCCGACTTTAACTGCTGACCTTGTGCAACTTAAAGTTATCCTCCTGCAAAATTAATACGGCTATAATTTTGCAGGAATGCCCAACGCCGACATGGCTTTAAACACCTCTGAACGGATAGGGTTGTCGAATGCGGCATTATAGTTGACAAAGAGATGTAATGTGTCGATGTGTTTTTCGTGGGTATTTTTCAGGATTTGGCGCAGAGTGAAAATCTGGTCAATGGTAGATTTGTCAGGTCTAAAGCCGCATTGGTATGGTCCAATAACGTCATTGACCATTGGCTTCAGTCACTTTATATGATTTATACTTTATATGGAAGGAGACTTATTCCTCTATAGTTCGTACATATCGTCTTGTCTCATTTTTTTGTGCACGGGACACACGAATCGTTGGACATGCATTCCTATAGATAAATTGTACTGATCAGCTGGTGCATGCTCCTTGCCAGCATCTGATCACCAGTCTTCAATAGTTCGGCTGTTAACCCATCGGTACCTGCTGCTTTATTATTCTTCAGTCGATTGATTGCTATTCTGACCTCGTCTTAGTTCTGAGGAATACATTCTATACCGCCATCTCTTATTGGTTCTTTAACACCACTATTTGATAACAGAAACTTTTCAAAGTATTTCATCCTCAACACGCTGTATGTATCTGTCACCAGGTTTTTTTCTTGTTTTCATTTATTAAAGTATCTACTACTTACCTATGTATGTATAAACTTTAAATTAATATAAATTCTTTTAATTCAATTTATTGTGAACAAAAATGCTAATCGATTTGCTTTTCATACAAGGCCATAATATCATTCTCTCCCATTTTTAATGAAGCCTTAAGCTTCCACGTCACATTGTCGTCCAGAGGAAAATTCGGTTCTAACGGCAAAGGGTCCGTATAAACATTACGTTTTTCCAAGGGACCAATTATACATATCCATCTACCTTTATATAACTTCAGATATTGTAAAAATGCTGGACGATTATTAAAATAACAAAATAGCAATGCAAAATTCCAACTATCCCTTAGGCAACATGTTCTCAAATATTCCTCCTTGGTCACATCCATATTATCCACATAATTTAATTCAATAAATGATTTTATGGCATAATTGCTGCACCACCAATCGCGATCCACTTCTAAGCCATAAATCTCCACATCTTTAAATAATAATGCGAAATATTTTAATAGTTTTTTTGAGCACCGAATTTCAACATAACTCACTTAAACTTTCTCGTATTATCCACTCAAATAATCCATTGCCACATCCAATGCTGAGCAGACAACCAATATTGAATTCACGTAATATTTTACCAAATTGCCATAATGATTTTTCCGTTGGCCATATCCATAATAATTTGCGCCGTATTTCCGCATTCAAATTTTCACCATATTTTAATAAAGAACGCCAATTTTTTGTTTCGGGTTTTGTTAAATAATACACTTCTCGGAGATGGTCTTCCTCGTCGATTGATGCCATTGTTTTAATAAAGAAAAAATGTATAAATTAATTGAACTTTTTGGGGGTAACAACTTTATGGTCGATACACTGTGTTACAAGTTAGAATACCACCCTCATCTTTATTGTTCTAAAATTGGTCTGTCGCGGCAATTGCTGTTCTTCTGCTAACATCGATGTCGGGTTTTCTTACGAAAATTTTATTCCGAAATGTTCTCTGCCACTTGATGTTTCCATCTAATTTGTGGCCTTGCCATTCTGCGTGAACCATCGGTAAGCTCGCTTTTATATGCCTTTTGTGCTGGGGCATCCTCATCCATTCTCACAACATGACCTAGCCAATGTAGTCGCTGCATCTCGATACGTCTGACAATGCCGATGTCCTATTCTCGCACAACTCATGGTTCATATTCAACGTCAACGCAGATCGGCCCATAGATCTTTCGGATATTTTTTTTTCTCAAACATTTCAAGAGTTTCCTCCTCTGCATCCGTAAGTACCCTGGCTTCAGATCCATATAACAGCACGGGTAGTATAAGCGTCTTGTAGAATGTGAGTTTGGTCTGGCGGGGGGTGGCCTTGTTTCTAAACTACATACTTAGACCATAGTAGCATCTGTTGGCCAAATTTCTTCTTCTCCGAATTTCAAAACTGTTGTCATTAGTTTTATTTACTGCCAGACACACTTTGGCAGACTCCTCATTTTGTTACCGCTTGCAATGTTTGATCCATTATATCGATATCATCGGCGTAGGCGAGTAACATATGCTGTTTGGTGTACAGAGTGTCATTTTTGTTCACTTTTGCCTCTCGTAAAACCTCTTCCAGCAGGATGTTGAAAAAGTCACACGACAAACTGTCACCTTGTCTGAATCCTCGTTCGGTATTAAAGCGCTCCGAGAGGTCCTCTCCGACTTTAACTGCTGATTTTGTTCCAGTTAGTGTCTGCCGAACGCAGACACTTCTGAACGGGTTGTCGAATGCGGCTTTATAGTGGACGAATAGTTGGAATGTGTCGATATGTTTTTCGAGGGTCTTTTCCAGGATTTGGCGTAGAGCGAAAATCTGGTCTATGGTGCAGTTACCAGGTCTGAAGCCGCAATGGTATGGTATTGCTAATGTCATTGACCATTGGCTTCAGTCGTTCACACAGCACGCTGGATAGCACATTATATGCTATGGAAAGGAGACTTGTTTCTCCAGGATGCTGAGGTTTCAATCATTGGGCATGCATTTCTCTAGCCAAATTGTACTAATCAGCTGGTGCATGCTCTTGACTAGCATCTGACCACTAGTCTTGAATAGTTCGGCACCTGTTGATTTATTATTCTTCAGCTGATCAATTGCTATTCTGACCTCATCTTGGCTTGGTGGTATACACTATATACCGTAATCTCTTATTGGTTCTGGGCTATCGTCTTCACCGCCACTATTTGATACCAGAAGCTTTTCAAAGTGCTCCTTCCAGATCCACAAGACGCTGTCTGTAGCTTCCACCAGGTTTCCTTCTTCAGTCTTCTTTTTTTCTGATAATAAAACAAATCATTGACTATTATTTTATTCCTATTATATTTTCTTAATGTGGTATGTTTGTAGTCATGTGTTTTTCATTCCTTTTTAACGCACGCAAAAAAAAATATCTGATCTTGGCCGTGGTCATTGTCATGTGCACGCTGTCGATGGCATTTGGCCAACTGCTTATAAATATGGTTGGCATGATGATTTGGTTTTTTCTTAATTTGTCTGTATTCTTGCCTCATTAAGACCAAACATATATATAAAAATAAAATTATTTAAAACAATAAATAAACACATGAGAGGATATATAATAATCATTGGATTTAATTGTTTTAATTTGCTTTTATTTTTCGTTTATACAGCCAGACTTGTTTAGCTAAACTTTGGTTTTCAAAAATCCACAACAATAAAATAAACATTACACTTAGAACACCAGTTCCTAAATGTAATTTAAATGATAAATTATTCTGAAAATAAAAATACAAAATAAATTATTATATTTTTCAATAAATTATATTAGAATTAAAATATATTATAATGTGAGATTTGCATCTAGCAACTTACCTTTGTGTAATAACAAATAACATAGGTAATTACCAGGCCAATGGAAAATATTTTCCCCGGTATTAAACCCTTTAAGGGCCTATAGTCCAATGTTTTGTATTGCTGCCAAATATATTTACAACTACAAAACAAAATATTTTAAATTTAAAAATTAAGATTTAAATTGAAATAAAAAAATATTATTACCTGCTAACTATCCGACATAACATATTAATACAATTGGCAATTATAAAACCAACTGGTCCAAAAATTCTTGTCAACACAAAAGACATAACAATAAATATAATGGAAAATATACCCATTACATAGTTATATTTATCAATTTGTTTGCCAGTATTAGTGGCAAACATATAGCCTTCGGTAATACCATTAATCGCCAGAAAATATATGGCAACGCAATGACAACGTAATAATTTTTCGGGTAAATCATCGGAAACAAATTTAGGACCTCCATATAAATATAAAACGGAATGTGAAAAGTTTTGACCAAATGTGGTAGCCAACAAACCAATAGATGTTATGGCCAATAATAAGTTTTCCAAGAGGCGAGCTGCTTCTGAGATTTTCTTCTACAAAATTGAGTAGGTTAATAATTTTTCTGTTATGTTATCATAGCAACTTACCTTGTCCTGATCCTTTAGCTGAACATCTCTTGCTATTGTCTGGGTAAAATAAAAGTAACTACTATCCTCAATTGGTCGGAAAATAAATCGAGCAGCCAAACTGCCCAAATTGTTTACAATATCATATGTGGCCTGTTCACTAAATGTTAGGCCCGGTGTTAGTGACATTACATATTTTTCCCCCTCGGTGAGAATTTGCTTGACAAAGGTCTGTTTGGCAAAACTCATTGTAAACTTCACCAAGTCCTTGTTCAATACCTCCTCCTAAAGAAAATAAACAATTTAATAATGATTTTTTATATATTGAAAAATTGAAATAACTTACATTTTTCTTTAACATAACACCTGGTAAAAAGTCCACAACACTTTTAAATGGAAAATCTTCCATATTTCCATACATATTCTCATTAAATTTTGTAACTTGATCCTTCTTTTTATTTTCTTCTCTAAATTTCATTAAACGTCCAATATAGTAATGATAAAATCCATAATAGCCAACAAATATTGTTGCCGTACTGGCCAATTGGGCATAGCCGAAATATTCTATGGCTTTTGTACCATCCAGACCCAAAACTAAACACAAAAATACACTTGAACGCACCAATATCTGTAGAGTACTTATGACAACTTTTAGTTTGACAAAACAAAATACTTGGCCCACAAAACATGGCGCCTCGGCACAAAATTCCAATAGACAAGATAATGCCACAACGTAACAGGCATAATGATATTGTTGGCGGTAGACCGCATCTTCAACAGGTAACATTACATGTAACCACAGTTGAACACAGACCAATGAAATGCACATACAAATTGGAAGCCTACAAATCAAAGCGAGATTTCATTTTCGGTTCCTTTAAACATTCCAATATTTTATACATACGTAAGCCACTGCTGATTTATTAATTGGGCCCACGAGCATTTCTGCAATTGTTTGGTGGAGCTGACACTCAGTGCAGCTCGATTTATGGCTTCGCGGGACAAAAAGATCACCGTACTTTCAAGCAGCAAAAGACGTACATTGATAATACCCAAGACATCGCGACCTATGGTGCGTATCATAAAAATATTCACAGCAAATGTCAAAATGCGGCAGAATATCTATTCGAGACAGGAATACATTATAACTTAAAAATTAAATTGAAATTGCAAAAAACACTTACTTGGAATCCCATGTTGAGGATGGCACTTAGAAGGCTACTTTTTAATATGTTGCGTGCCATGGTTGTTGTTTTCTTCTTAATAATTTGTTCCCATCCACGAATTATTGCCCTCTTGCCACCCGCACAATTTCCAAAATCAATTTCTATATTGATTCATTCGATTCATCAGAATTGAAATGTTCTTATCACGAAACCACTGTTTTTGTTGTTGTCATTGAGTTGTAAACAAACGTACCGGAGTATTTAGGGATGACAATATGAAAAGGTAATCGTATTTTATCGATATAAAGAATAATCGAAATTATTTTCATACACAGTTGGTCTGTTCCCGTATACAAAATCTGGGGGGAAATGTTCATATTTGTGATGGGAAATTAAAAGATAGAGATTATGTTCCCTCCCCCATAAGGTAAGGGAACCAGCAAGAATATTCCAATAACTGAACTGATTCGATTATTTCTTTAGAAAAATTGAAAGTTGTTCCATTTTTTTAGGAATTAGAACAAACCACAAAGATGTTCTTCAGTGTGTAACATATAGAAATATTCATCAGAGACCCCACGGTACATTCCCATTTTCAAAAACTGATAAAATTTTATAAAGCAACATTTAATTTTGGTAGGTAATTGGTAATTCTCTCCAATGAGAACAAATTCCGCAAAATAACATGAAACATTTTGGTAGGGAGATTTTTCACCAAATGATAATTTCATATATCAAATTACATGAAATTCCAAAGAAAAACGCGTCCAAAATTCTTAAAATATGGTGTCCGGGAATATCACATCATTTATTTATATTCATCTCATCGGATCTTGAATTCAAAGTAGTACCAACATATTATGAATATACATATTATTCTGCTGTACTCCTGATATTTTGGAAAATGTTTTTCTGTTCGTAGGCAGCAAATTATTAGTGGTCGGAAGGACAACCTCTGAGATTAAGTATTGGCTTTCTTTTTGAGATTTGTCCTAGAGGTTGTATCTTCACAATCCAAGTGAAGCTAACGGGAGAAGTTTTTGCTGAAATCGTAATAAGTCGTAACGGGTAATACGGAGAACCAATATATTAAAAAGAAACAATTTTAGATCACATATCCTTCACTTCGCAATCTGGGTTTAGGCATGATAGAAGCACAACGTATCTAGTTGTAAGTCTTACTTCAGTCTATTGATTTTAAGAAAGCTTTTGACAGGATTGATCACGAAATGCTAGTCTTTAAGCTTTGTAATTATTTCGGGTTTTCTATTACAACATTGTTGGTCCGTTATTGTTAATTTTGTTTATAAATGATTTTTTTGTTGCAATACCTTCTTATATTTGTCTGCCTTTTGCCGATGGCGTTCAGTTGTTAATGAAGTGTGATGCTACTTTACCGAATGTGATGCAAAATGTTGTAAATCATGGCAGTTTAACGGTGGGAGATTGGATTATGAAAAATATATATAATTTGAGGTTCCTTCCTACGAGGCAATACAGTTCGAAGTTAGCATCTCAAACATCTAATGCAGTGGACTTTGACGAACCTGTTTTACATTTTTTGATGAATATATTCAGGAAAAGGAAAGATTAAAACGAACTTCAGTATGCTTGGCAGTTTTGTGAGCTGAACTTTATAGACGTTCCGAATAATGGGTTGGGATTTGAACTCCGGTTCCAACGAAATCTCAATCGTTATCCGTGGCCTTAGTGTGCAAAACCATCCATTTAAACTGCGAATAACTTCGTTATAAATACGAAACGCTTTGATTTCCTTTTTAATGCAACTTCCATCATGTAACTCATCTTATGAGTAAAAATGGAGAATATTTGTGGAATTGATTTTACCAAGAACTTTTGTAGTGGAGGACAAAACAGTCTACAAAATTGCGATTGTTAGATCAAAACATTGAACGGTACCTTTGAACCAAAAACTCCACACCAAGACATGGGATATGTCTAAAAAATTCGAACATTTTTCCCACAATCGCCAAAGTTATAATATAAATTATTAACAATTTCCTATAGTTTATTTAATATTGGAATACAATTATCACTTTATTAAGCATTACTAATTTCTATGTGAAATTTACAAGCCGGTATACTTTGAACTTCTGCTGTAACGCTACTATTTATGCCCAGATTGCTTAATGCTCCACGTACCAAACCACAAGTAAATGCAACAAACTGAAATAAATGAAATTAAAAAAAAACAATTGATATATTTTTAGTAAAAGTAGAGCTGGCATAGCTTAGACTGGCCAACAATCCGCAATGCCAAGAAACTTACCTTTGGTGCATGTTCCAGCTGTTTTTCACCTGGTGTAATACGTGTCAGAAAACGAAACGCCTTGTCCTGTACAACATAGATACCCTGATTGTTGGTACGTAAATTATCTACTTGTTTTTTGTAAATTGAAGTCCAGAAGTCTGTACAAATGAATTTTATGGTTTCCAGTTCATCTTTGAAACGGGAAACATCTCGTGTCATACGTTCGATGAGACGATAACCAGTAGTGAATCCAATATATTCCAGTGTAGAAAAATCATTCTCCTAGAATAGCAATAAACACAAATAAAATGGGATTCCAATGTATCACGATTTCTCCTTTACCTTATTTCCTTCCAAACAGTAATTTACAATTTCCGCATGCAGACAATCAAATACAATTTCTTCGGACATTGTGAATTGAATTAATTCTTCAATAATAGTTTTGTTTTTTTTTTTTTGTAAATAAATAAATTCTACATTAGCAAATAACTCCCCGACGAATTTGTAATGCAAAATGAAATATGACGAATGGGTGGATGAAAGAAATACAAAACCAAAACAATGCTTCTTCATATTTTGATGTTTTCAGGAAAAAGTTGGCATGCAATGTACATTGATAGCAATATCATTCTGCAACTTTTCAACACTAATATTTTATAGCCCTGGCCGTTTGTTAATCCATGAAAGTATTGTTTATTAGTACCCAAAGCATATCATTTTACTTTACCCTAGTGGTCCCGATCAAGGTATATTTAATAAGGTAGCCGCATCGGCCCAGCTGTTGGACAAATAAATGTCAAAAATGTTGTTGTAATGTTGAACCAAAAAATTAAAAAACAAAATTATAAATGAAAATCTCCGAATTTCGAAGAGCTTTTTTGGCAATACTTTTATTAACATTTTCTACAAGAATTTGTGTAAAAAAATCTTGTCAATCTGATTGTTTTGGCAAAATATTTTTGACATATCAAAATACAACAACCGATGTTTGTTGTAGAAATTCGCCGATGCGGCTACCTTGTATATCTACCTTGGTCACGATTAACAAGACATTTATTTTCTCTTTTGAAAGGCTCAACGTCTCGTCTATAAAGACTCCCTTTAGGTCGCCTATAAAAACTCCCTTCTGCTCGTTTATAAAGTCTCAGCTCGTCTATAAAGACATACTCCCTTCAGCTCGTCTATAAATCAGACTCCCTTCAGCTCGTCTATAAAGACAGACTCCCTTCAGCTCGTCTATAAAGACAGACTCCCTTCAGCTCGTCTATAAAGACAGACTCCCTTCAGTTCGTCTATAAATCAGACTCCCTTCTGCTCGTCTATAAAAAATCTCCTAAACTATAAAGACCTCGCTCAGCTCGTCTATAAAGACTCCCTTCAGCTCGTCTATAAAAACCACCTTTTGCTCGTCTATAAAGACCGTCTTCCGCTCGTGAATACTTCCTTCAGCTCGTTTATAAAAACTCCCTTCAGCACGTCTATAAAGACTACCTTCAGCACGTCTATAAAGAGTCTCTTTAGCTGGTCCTTTAACGCGTCTATTAGGACCTCATTCAGCTCGTGTACAAAATTCCTCATTCAGCTCGCCATAAAGACTATCTTCTTATATAATATTAACCTCAATGATTCCTCAGGATTCAAAAATTTTAAAGTGAATAAGTCCGAATCTAAGTATACCTAAATCCTTTAAGACAAACAGCTGATTTCAAGACATTTCACCCAAATTCAAATTCGTCCGGCGAACCGGCTTTTTTATACCAACAATAAACAAAACAAACGAGTTTTAGGCGAAGGTACGATTTTGGATATTAAAATAATAAAAATTTAAAATAACATCCCTCCTATTCCAGATCTCTATAGTTAACATGTCAATTTATTCATATAACACATCTCGGATTATGGACTCCATGTTTATACAAATCTTGGCTTTAGTCATCCTGTGCTATTTGTGTTATGGTTCATCTCTAAATGGAAGTTTCGTGTTCGATGATACGGTGGCCATAAAGCAGAACAAAGCCATTGCAAAAACACCAACAAATTATACAGCTATATTCATCAGTGATTTCTGGGGTGCCCCGATAACCAGTGAAGATTCTCACAAATCATATAGGCCACTGACATCGCTGCTATTTCACTGGGAATGGATAAAGTGGCAAATGCAACCCAAACATATGAAAGCCATTAACTTGGTGATCCACATTTTTAATAGTGTTTTAATTCTATTGGTTCTTCGTGAGTTTAAATTTCAAGAATCTCCTTTAAACTCCAAGTCAGTTGAAAGGGTCGCTTTTATTGCTGCAATTCTTTTTTCTATACATCCCATACATACGGAGGCTGTATCTGGTATCGTTTCAAGAGCAGATTTAATGTTTTGTTTGATGTATCTTATGTGTTTGTATATTTGTTGTTGGAGCAGGAGATTATGGCGGGAAAATAATTTATGGTTTTCATTACTAGTTTCATGTCTAACCTTTGTTGGTGTTTTATTTAAAGAATCTGCAATAACAATACCGTTGGCCTGTGTATTTCTTTCGTATGTCCTGAAAGGCTACCACACCTTGGACTGCAAGCAACAAATAAAATCAATATTTTCGTTGGAAAATATATTTTTTGCTTTTACGACTTTGATAATAGCAGTATTTCGCCTTTGGATAGCTGGTTTTACAAGTCCAACATTCCGTAATGCCGATAATCCGGTGGCCCATGCAGACAGCCTGAAAACTAGAATATTTTCTCAAAATTATTTATATTTTTATAATCTAAAAATACTCGTTGATCCATCCGAATTGTGTTTTGATTGGTCCTTTGGTTGTATTCGATTGATTGAGAACATCAAAGATGTTCGCTTGATTTTGATATTGGTGATATATGTTTTATTTATGATCGTGCTATTAAATTATAAAGAAAACTGTCCAACCTTTGTGGCCTGTGGTCTTATGATTATACCCTTTTTACCAGCATCGGGAATTATTAAGGTGGGTTTCGTTATTGCTGAACGGGTATTATATGTTCCATCAATAGGATTTTGTTATTTAGTGGCCTATGGTTTGGTTTGCCTCTATGATTGTGAGCATTTTCATAAACATTTACATGTGGGTTTTGGTATTGTAATAGTGATTTTCATAATGCGCTGTAGGCAACGCTCCGCCGAATGGTTAACCGAGGAGAAACTATTTTCCTCAGCCTTGGATGTGTGTCCCAATAATGCAAAGGTAGTGTATTGTAAATACAAAAATAAATTTTTGTTAATAGGCCTTTATTTTGCTAGGTACACTACAACATTGCCCGCCTTGCAACAGATATGCACAATTACCCCAAAGCATTTGAACACTATCACAAAGCCATTGAACTATCACCCGACTATGATGCTGCCCTTATGAATTTGGGTAATTTATATCGTGATCAGGGTGACCTAACAAAAGCAGAAAAATATCTACTGTCTGCATTGGAAATAACACCCACCTTTGCCACAGCATGGATGAATTTGGGTATTGTCCAGGCGGCCAAAAAGAAATTCCCCGACGCCTTAAAAAGTTATCAGAATGCTTTAGCACATCGTAAAAATTATGCCAATTGTTATTATAATATGGGTAATCTCTTCTTAGAGCAACAACTGAATACAAAAGCCCTAAAGCACTGGGAAATGGCAGTGGCATTAAAGCCCACTCTACGTCAGGCATGGACAAACATATTAACCATGTTGGATACACAAGGAAAATATGATAAAGCATTAAAGGTATCCGATGAGGCATTAAAGTATCTTCCCAATGAATCGTCGATAATATTTTTACGTGCCAATATTTATGGAAAACTTGGTCGTTATGCGGAAGCTGAGCAGCTATATAAACAGGTTGTGATCAAAGAGCCACTTAATTATTTATATCATACAAATTTAGCTGTATTATATCATCGTTGGAATCGTATAAACGATGCTATAGATTCATATAAAAGAGCATTAGATGCGGATCCGAAGCGAGCAACAACGGCAAGAGATAATTTAAATAAATTAATCAACAAAATGGCAAATAAAAAGAAAATGGTTTAACATTCGGAAAATTTAAAAAGAATAATAAATAATTAATTTAATCTAAAGAAATAATTTAATAAAATTTATATTTTTATACATAAGCATTTTTTTAATAAAAATATAATTTTTACTATTTCAAAATAAAAATTAGAACATAAATACCTCTTATGAGGCTTACCTACGAAGCTCCTCTTGAGATAGTCTATAAAAACTCCTTGAAGCTGATCTATGGACTTGTT